TTTTTTAGTTCTGGAAAATCACAAGTTTTGTTAACAAATTTCTGGATTAAAATCTGATAAAAATCTGATTAAAAATCTGGTAACTTTTGGACACGATATCTCGCAAACCACAGAACCAATCTGGATGAAAATATTACCATTTGATTCGCCAAGACTAGACGAATCGAATGGTAATATTTTCGTCCGAATTGGTTATGTAGTTCGCAAGATATCGCATCCCAAAGTTACTGGATATTTTTTTTATTTTCCCCATTTTTTTCATTTTTAAGCAGATTTTTATCAGATTTTAATCTGGAAATTTGTTAACAAAACCCGTGATTTTCTGGAACTAAAAACCAGATTTTTTCCTGATCTTTATCTTTTATTTTTTTTTACAGGATAAAATATTGTCCAATAAAATTAAAATAATGATGCATAGGCATCATTGAATGAAAGAAAAATCAGGGTGGTTCTACAAGAAATCAGGGTTGTAGTACACTTTAGGCAAGTTGTACTTAAGAGGATTTTCAGGGTTCAAAGAATAATATAAGAGGCTAATTGACATTCCTAATTTCTATACCAATGTGTGAATTTCCACATGTTGTGTGACTTCTCCTGAATTCCAGTATTGATTAATGAATTTACGAATTCGTATCACATAATCGTAGATTGCAGTATTAGTTCTATTTTTGGTCATTTTGTATGAATTATTATTTTTACTTTTACTAATACTTTCTTTTTTAGCTTCCTGTTTTTCTTTTCCATTTAATGCAGTCCAATATTCCACGAGATGCGTATTCCATTCTTCTAAGATTTTGGGCATTCCAGGTAAGTTGTTTCTTCTTAGTTTTTTGCCATTTTGAACGTTTGTGTTTCTTTGGAATGATGCGATATTTATTGTTGATGGTGGTAAATGAACATGTATTCGTGTCCAGTTTTCATTAGTCATTCAGGAGTCGTCGAACGATGAATTTATAGTGTTATTTGCCCTTTTATTCTGTTTCTTGTAGAGCATTTTCATTTTGTCATTGTGTTGTTGCTGATATTTTTCAATTCTGGAATCTTGTTGTTTGTCTATTTTAGTAGTCATTGGAGGAGACCATGTTACTGTTTCGTTAGTATCTGATAGATTTTTCCAATTGTTTGTTTCGTTATTTATTTTTCTTTCTAGATTATTTTTATTAATTGTTTTATTTTTCAGTTTATTTTCTTTTTCAGTTATATTTCTAATTGACCATACTGGTTGGTTAGAATTATCAATCTGAAATTGAATATTTTTCATCATTATTTCTGGTCTCATGAAGTTTCTTTTCCCCGACTCATTAATCTTCTGGTCTTTATGACTTCTGGCTGGTGATTGTCATTGGCTAGTACTGCCATTCTTTATTTGTTTCAGGAGTGGATGGATGGTGTACTTTTCATAAGAAAGTGTTCATCTCACTTTCTTTAATTCAGAATTTCTGTAAGTTCATTCAGATCCTCTGACGTTTCTGACCACACAATACTGACTATGTCATCACCAGTATTCGTGTTTTCAATTTTTCTTATTTTTAATCTTTCTATTTCCAGATTTTCTTCGTTTTCATCCCGAAGCAGTTCTGGAGGTGATCGGTGGATCGGAGTTACAATCTTCTGGCCCGTATTTGTATATTCGTAATGTCAAATTCTTCTTTTCTCTTCCTCTAATTCAGTTATAGTAATGATGATAATTGATCCATTATTACTTTGAGTGTCTTCTTCTTGTTCTGAACAGTTATTTGTATGATTCCAAATATCATTTTTGTTAATGAAGTCTTCATCTTCTTCATCAAGATAAATGATATCTTTTTCTTGATGATTTGTGCATAAATCACAATTATCATGATTCAAATACAATTTGTTTTTACACCAATGGCAATGGCATTTGTCCAAAGTGTGTAATCAGTTTTAAAATTTATTTTTCATATAATTTTCAAAGGCAATGATTTTTTTGACTTCATTGCAATCATTGCATCTATAATCAAGGTGAGGTGAAGTTTTCCAATATCTGGTGAAGCACACATGTAATACTCAGGTTTCTTGTCCTCTATAAGTTCTTTTTGGATAATAAGACTTAAGATGATGATATTTTTGTATTAAGATAAGTATAGACATTATTGTTTTGTCAAAATAATTAAAGTTTTTGTTGAAAATAATTAAGAGTTTTGTTGAAAATAATTATTTGTGCTGTTGTGAATTTGTAATTCTTGTTCCAAATGGCGACGTAAGGTTTAATCAATCCCATAAGCTTAGTTTATTGACTTCTCAATCAGTTGTTGATTAATTTTGAATCACAATTATAGGTTCTAATCTATTATCTTCTTTGTATAATTTTAGGTGATCTCCATTGTATGGGTTCTTAAGAAGCTTTTCATCTATGGTTCTAAGTTGATATGCATCTTTGTCGAATATTTGGTGAATGTAATATGGGCCAATGCTGCATTTCCATCCTCTTTATTAAGACTTTATCACCGATAAAGAACTTTTCTGGGTGTTTATCTTGTTGGTAAGATTCTTTTTGTTTTTGTTGAGATTTTTGAACATTTTGTTTGGCTAATGTTCTATCAAT